TAAATAAGAAAAAAGAACGAAAAATCAAAAAAAAAAAAAAAAAAAAAAAAAAAAAAAAAAAAAAAAAAAAAAAAAAGAAAAAAAAAAAACAAAAAAAAAAAAAAAACAAAGAAAAGGAAGAAAAACGGAGAGAAAAGAACCAACCAGGAAAAGTCGAACCTAAAGAAAGTAGGACAGCGAATAGAAACTCGAAAGGAAACAACGAATTCGCGATAGAGAGAACATGTATAGAACATATACATGCAACAGGCAACGTCGCGTCTAATTGTCTGTCAATCAAAACAATGCTTGACAATTAGTACAAACCTTACGTGAACCAAGAAATAGTAGAATTTCATCGTTCTTTCCCGTATCTCATTCTCAATTTTTTAAGTGGGTTTTCAACAGTCGTTCATTCACCGAAGATTAAAAAATCGGGACGAATTTCATCGTTACGAACGTAAGAAGATGTCAGAGACTCACACGATGATGGTGGTATAATTATAAAATTTGTTCGATCTACCTTACACATCAGCGACCTCTACTTTGAAGTATTTAGATCAACGATATCTATGTTCATCAAATCGTTCCGTAGAGATGTGTATTTAATATAAACAATAGAATATTTAAAAATTGTTAGTAATTTTATTATCACTATGAAAATGTTTACAGACACTTATATATGTTGTAACCATAGTAGAAATTATTCATTCGTTATTTAACTTTCATTATTTAATCTTCATTAAATTATTAGTAATTATATATTTCGTTATATTGATAATATTTTTATATAAACAACTAAAATTAATTACGGAGTTATTATTTATTTGTAGTATCGTGATATAAATTTAAATTATCGCAATCACTACATATTGTAGCGACCTCTACTTCGAAGAATTTAGATCAACGACATCTATGTTCCGTCGAGATGTGTATTTAATATAAACAATAGAATATTTAAAAATTCTTCATTCGTTCTTTCGTCATTTAACTTCCATTATGTAATCTTCATTAAATTATTAGTAATTATATATTTTGTGATACTGATAATATTTTTATATAAACAACTAAAATTAATTACGGAGTTATTATTTATTTGTAGTATTGTGAAAATAAATTTAAATTATCACAATCACTACACATCTATTATAATCGCGACATCTCTTATTAAGTGGTCTCTTATTAAGTGTACAACTAGTATGTGTATATATTATTTATACAAGCAGCTCGAACGTATTGTCAACGTTCATCTTTTCGTAATAAGAGTCCGCTGAGTAAAATTGTTATTCCTAAGTAAATTCCAAAGTGATTATTAATTACTATAAAGCCACACTGCGCTACGCGCTGCAACAAAATTAAATTTCGAAAAAAGGGGGGCTGGCCGACAACCCGGAAATAAAAACAGAACCGAAGTTCTCTGATCAATCGAAAGGCTCCGCTCTCTACCGTGCGAGGAAAGAAATTTTCCACCCTCTTTGGCTCTCCTTTCGCGTGTTTTTTTCCGAACGTTGAGAATCGCCGTGTACCCCCCCCCCCCCCCCCCCCCCC